GCTGAATTTGTATATGACCTTTGCATCTTGTGGAGGACTTCATAGTAAATTTTATTCTATATATTTTGTATATTTGTATAGTCCTCTGTTATAAACAATTTTATAGTTTCGTTACTTACAGTTTGATACTATGTATATTTGTATATTCCTTAAAGATTATGAATTAAATTAGACTTTTAGAATAGTATGTTTCTGATGCTCTTATTAATCCCCCTATTAATAGAAAAATCTTATCCTGAATTTTATGTGAAAAAATATTTTTGACATTTCAAGATATTATTTTAAATAAATATAAAAATTTTTTTATTCAGTATATTGTTCTATAAAATTTGCTTTACAGAAAGATACAAAAAAATAAAATTTTGATATTAACTACATCATACGCGGGCGAACGGCTTAGTAACATCGATTTAATCGGCGGTAACATGGGGAATATTCGTCGTGTAACATAGCAGATTACGCGGAGCAACGCAGTGAACTGCGGAGTAACAACGATTAAATCGAAGGTAACGCAAACAACGGAGTAACGTAATAACACGCTGAGAATATTCCCTTGGTACAGCGATAACGCAAACAGCGGAGTAACGTAGTAACACGGTAACATAACGGTATAATGCAGTAATACAACTGAGTAATGCAGTAACGTACACAACGGAGTAACACAACAACACGTGTTATCTACGTGTTATACAGTTGATATTTATATGATAATCAATTTATCCACGTTTTACTAATCATAACACAGAAATATTTGAACAAAGAACATATTATAAACCACCAATTACTTCTTTCTTACAATGTTCAAAGATGTTCACGCATTAATCACGTGTTATTCACGTGTTATCCACGTGTTATACAGTTGATATTTATATGATAATCAATTTATCCACGTTTTACTTATCATAACACAGAAATATTTGAACAAAGAACATATTATAAACCACCAATTACTTCTTTCTTATAATGTTCAAAGATGTTCACGCATTAATCACGTGTTATTCACGTGTTATCCACGTGTTATACAGTTGATATTTATATGATAATCAATTTATCCACGTTTTACTTATCATAACACAGAAATATTTGAACAAAGAACATATTATAAATCACAAATTACTTCTTTCTTACAATGTTTAAAGATGTTACAGTATGCCAACGTATATAATTTCAGTAAATCTATAACTCACTTATGGAATCCATCAACAGTCCAGTGTATGTTTCAGTTAGTTGCGGTGCATAGTGTTCCTGCAATATGGGAGTATTACCAAGTTCAATTTGAGTGAATTATTTTTAATAAAAGGCAGTCAAGTGATACTGAATTTTAGCAACATATCTGGGTCAGACAATCTGTCAAACTTTTCTCAAATGCATTAACAGTTTTACGGCTATTTGCTGCTTCTTGTTTTTTTCCTGAATGCAATGGTTAAAGTTAAGAGTATGCATTATACATGGAATGAAGGAAATACTAAATCAACAAATTTATACTTTTTGCTTTCTTATTTTTTCTCCCAATATCCTTTTAACCTAGACGTAGATACTTCTTTCGGCCTCATTTTTGCAGGATCGTTCACATTGCATTCTATATTTATAAATTTTTTCTTCTTTCTTGTTTTCCTTACTTCGGTCGTTCTCCCTGCTAGAGCATCATCAATATCTCCAGATAATTTTTTAAACGTGTCCCACAAACACACATCGGCTAACTCATTTCCTCGTGCTCTATTAATGAGTTGATATGTAAATTTTTGAGAGCATGACATGAATAGAAGAGCACTTGAAGAAACATTATTCAACCCAGAGTCTTTTAGATCTCTGCAACCAAACATGTTATACATGTCCTTTTTAGCATTGTTGGACCACCGCAATAAGAAATACTTCTTCGAAATCACCTTTATTTTGGCTACACTGAGAACAAATAGTGCATAGGAGCACAACATGCCCATCTGCCCATCATCTTAAATTTTTTGCAAGTACATGTAATCTCACAAGTAACTTTGTCAACTAACACAATCCAGAGTTACCTTGTTCCCTCATCATCCAATCTTATTACGTAATGTTTAGCCTCACTCTCCACTAATAATTCAGTTGTAAGCTCACATAAGCATTCAATAGCTCTTGTTCCAACATTAAGTAAAGCTTTCTTGTATAGAATGAGACAACTTGCCTCAGCACGGGATTGATTTTAACTATGGGCGTTGTGACGGACTGACCACATTTGAAATCTTCATCTTTCTTGCTCTATTAATTCAGTTGTATGCTCATTGTGGACAGTGCTGCTTAGAAACTTCTCTGCAATTGGTTCATTGTAAATATGTGTTAGCTCACAGGACTGCATAACACCATGATAACATCAACATAATACCATAATAATACTAACATTTACATCAGACTAAGCCAACTATTATACCATAGTAAGAGTACTAAATTAAATGCAAGAATCAACATAATATTGGAGTAAATCAGAGTAACACCAGAATAACACAAGAGTAACATCAAACAAACACAAGCTTAACATCATAATAACACAAAAAATAACGTCATTATAACACAAATAACAACATTGTACAACAACACTCAATAACACTAATCAACACCAACATTTACATCAGGCTAAGTCAATTATTATACCACAGTAACAGTACTAAATCAAAGGCAAGAACCAACATAACATTGAAGTAATACCAAAGTAACACCAGAATAACACAAGAGTAACACAAAAAAAACACAAGTTTAACAACCATAATAACATAAAAATCGCAATAGTAAAACACCCAAAATTTTACCATATTAACAAAAATATTGCTGCCTTCCAAGAACTATACCAGGAAACTATAAATATAAACACCCCAAACAAAATGACAATATCACAAACATAATGACAACCCTAAGCTAACATAAAACTAGAGATCATTACAGACTCGTTTGATCTTCAAAGTTCAGGGTGAATGATGGGTGTAATTCCTCCGGCATCTCAATGTTCATGGAGACGTCCATCGAAACCCTAAACAGAAACCCTAGCTGCGGAGCTGTGAAATATTTCTTCAACTGCAATAGAACAGTACGTAGGCGCGAAATATTTTTATGCTAGCGAGAAATTGTTCGGGTTTCGGTTGGGCCGGGTTCGCGGGTTCGCGTATCCAGCTTTTTCACATGGCAGCATTTGATTGTAGTACGCACGTAGCTCTACGTGCGTAGTACGGAGGCAATATTTCTTCCTACGAAAGGGGTTTAGCTGTGCTTCTGACTCTCCACCACAAATTTCATTATTACGGTTGACGGTGACCTCATCCATGGTCATTTCCTCAATGACTCGAGCCATTGTAGCACTTCGTGGAGTATCCTTTGTATGTCACCCATGGTAAAGTCCTGATCAAGTTTCGACAGTTGTCTTCTTAGAGGCATGGTTAGGTTTAGGGGTGGGATAGGTGGAAAGAGCTGTATATATTAGGGAAGAAAATTTTTTGGGTATGGAGATAGGTTTGGGCATGACGGATGCTTGAAAACCTAGAGCAAAACTAAGATTAAGCTAGTTCTATTACCAAATGATACCAGAAGTAACCCAAACAACAACAAAAAATGCAAATTTTATTTTGGAAGCAAATAGGGGCTACAAGAAACACACACAGAAATAGGAAATAACAGTAGACACTGAATACAAACACCAACTAGGGCATGGATTGAAGGTGTTGGTGCTGCGGTTGGAGAAAAAATAGTGATAACAAATGGCTGGATGGTCGAGGGGTGATGAAGGGAGGGGCATCACCAACTGGAGGAGGTGATTGGGGTTTGTGGGTGGTGCTGTTGTTAGATGACTAGAAAATGGATGGCAACAAAGTTGTGGCGCTGCTGCAAGAAGGCTGCAGTAAGGTGGTGGAAGAGTAATCATGGCTGGAAATGGCTGGAAAGGGGCGACAACAAGGATTCGAGGGCTGAGAGGGATGGGCGGCGGTTGGACTGCAGTTGGACTGCCCACAGTACAATTCCAACAGGGATGTCAAAAGCTCAAGCGACGAGTAAGATTGGGGAAGTAGGGAAGGGTAGATGAGCACCATCTTATGACGAGTTAGAGCACCTTGTCGCCTTCAGATATAGCCCTAAAAGGGGAAACCTGGACGCTGACAGCTATTTTGATAGAAAATTGAATCAATAGTAAACTTAGAACACACAAAACAACATATAAATACTATTAGGTGACGAAGGAGTGGAAAGTGGATGACAAAAAATTTGTGGCGCTGCAGCTAGAAGGCTACGGCAGGGTGGTGGCAGAGGAATGAAAAAGGGGCGGCAATAAGGATTCAGGGGCGAAAAGGGATGGGCAGCAATTTGACTGCAGCAGGATTGCCTACAGAACAATTCTGATAGGGATGGCAGCAGGTCTGATGGTGAGGAAGGTTCAGGAAGCAGGAAATGGTAGATAAAGATCACCACATAATGAGTTACAATCGGAGCACTTTTTCACCTTCGGATATAGGCCTAGAAGGGGAAACCTGGATACTGACTGCTATCCTAACAGAAAATTGAATCATAACTAAACTCATAGCACACAAAACATGTAAATACTATTAGGCGATAAAGGTGCGGTCCACTCCCCTTGTGCGGCAACTCCTGACACCAAGAGAGTCGGTCGGCCCTCTCATTTTCTAACTAAATTGGCTGCATGTCCCACTACTACTAGCCGATCCATTCTTCACATTCGCATCATGGACACTTAGGGGCTGTTTGGGATTTTGTTTCATTTCTTTTAATTTGTTGTTTTTGTTTTGATTTGAATTAAAACATGTTTTGTAAAGGTTCTTTTAAAAAATATTTAAATTATCTTTTTAGTATTTTGAGTGTTTTTACAAATAAATAAATTTATTTTTAAAAACAAAAAATAAAAACACATAAAACAATAGTGATGCCAAACGGGTATGAAATAAACTCAACACTTGAGAGCTTATAATATGACTGCAATCCTTCTGTCGCTAATATTGAGCTAATCTGTATTTCTGTAATTTCTGAAGGTTTACGCAGAGCATTTATTGGAGCCACTTGTTCAAACAATTCTTGCTTTATCTGGACCTAGAACAACAATTATGGTAAATAGCTGACAATAAATTTCTCCTTTCTATTGGTATGGGCAATTGTATCCATAGCACTTGAAAAATTATTATTTACAAATCTAGCACCCTCTTTCATCTATTTTTCAAATTTCACTCAAATATCAAAATTCATGATAAAACAAAACCCATATTTTTCATTTTTATTAAATTCTCAATAGTTTGATCATGACATGTACAAATGCATCAATTTAGTAGTTAAATAAAAAATCATATGGGTGCTAGTTTTATAAATAGCAATGTTTTGAGTGTTGTGCATTTAATTATCCCTTTCCTTATACTATGGTGGTTGAAATATCTAATCCTTAATACAGTTAGGTTATGAGATTCGGTCAACAACCGCTAGTTTTATAAATAGCAATGTTTTGCGTGTTGTGCATGTAATTATCCCTTTCCTTTTACTATGGTGGTTGAAATATCTAATCTTTAATACAGTTAGGTTATGAGATTCGGTCAACAACCGTTCATGAGCAAATGATTCAGACTTGGAAGGAAAATTTCATCGTAAAAACTGTGCCAAAAGCTAAGGTGTGTTTAGATACTACTATTTCTTTTCAAGTATCTTGCATGAAGGAATCACTGCAATTATCAAAATATTGCATTTATTTAATGGCTCATCATTTGGAATATAGTTCATTTCTATAGTTAACCAAGCTGTAAGACTTCCCCATATTTACAACATGTACTCGTGTTGATGATGTTGGGCATAACTAGAATATATAAATTTTACATAAATACCACTCAATTCCTATGTATTTGCATATCTAACATCTAAATTTCAATTTTTACGTACATACAACCTTACATATGTATGAAAAGGTGTATTTCAATTTTAAAAGTTAAAATGGTGGTATTTTTTATGTGATATGAAATATTTGGCTGCTAAATGTAGAGACATAGGAATTAGATGGCATGTACGTAAATTTCCATTAGAATATCTGGCTTTGGGCATCAAGCAATTGTGATCTTCCGACCTGATTGAAAAGTGGTCTATCATTTGTTTTCCTGTAAGCATAGATCTAAAACCTACACATCTCATACTTGGTGGTTAGAATTGAAATTATGAAAGTCTTTATCTTTTTGGGTATGTTTTAATATATATTTCTATGCTCTTCACTTACGTTAGTCTTCTTTTATCTTCTCGTATATGGTTAGAATTGAGCTAATAGAAGTCATCTTTATAGAAACTTTTGTACAGTAAAAGCCCAAATTGATCAATAGAAGTCATTTTATGCCATTTAGTTCCATACTATTGGATGTGTCCAATTTAGTTTTTTAGCTTTCTAGAATTGATCTGAAGTAATTTGACCATTAGAATTACTATGTAATTGGACAAAAAACTCTTGTAAGACTCTTGTAAGAGTAGGATTAGAAGGCATATCCATCTTTTCAAATTTTAATTTTTCTTATAATGATCCCAATTTCCCACTTTTTAGAGCTTTATTGTTAAATTAGAAGTGCTCGATTAGAAGATAGATGATAAATAAGTGACAAGCCGCACAAGAACTAATATCGTAGATTGCGACGAACAGCAGATGAAAAACAAATATATTGACGAGCAAAGCACCGAGAACGGGATCACTTAGGCCAATGAAGAAAAGAATACGATGACATTGAGGTTGACACGCATACATTTCTTAGGGCCAACATTTAGCACAATACATGTTCAGTTGCTCGTTGATCTCAACCTAGCTTGCTAGTGACATTCATTTTGACGAAAGAATGAATAAAATTAGAGGCATTAACATACATACCACACAATTTTTATGTGTTTACGTATCTGACACCTAAACATTCATATTTAATTGTCGTTCAAATTTTTAACCTCAGATCAAAAATACGAACATCACTATTTTGTTAAAAGTGAAATATACATTTTCATACATAGACATAAGGTGTTATAAATGTAAATATAAAACTTTGGGTGTAATACATGTAAATACATATGATATGTGTGGTTTGTATACAAATTTTCCATTTAATAATAGTTAAAAAAAAATGGAAATCCTAGAACATCATATTAAGCAGTATAAATTGTCCGACAAACTTAGCCTTTGAGTAATATTTCCTAGTGTGAACTATCTATCCATTTACATGGATTTAATCTAACGATGATATTATTTGTGATTAATTTTGAAATTTTAAGGGGCCGTTTGGTTTGCTAGAAATGAAATGTGTTCTTAAAAGTTTGCAGAATACTATAATTACAATGCATTATTTGAAATATTTTAGAGTTAGAGTTTGACGGCTCGTTTGCCACCAATTTAAAAAGTTAAATTGGTGGTATTTTTGATGCGATACGAATGATTTTGGTGGTATAAAATTAAAAGCTAAAATTTTGGTGTTAAATATGTAAATATATAGGAACTAGGTGGTATGCATGTAAATGCCCCATTTTTATATTTGTTTGAAGTTATGAACTGGGAAGTTGTATAGCCTTATGTATGTATATATATAGAAGATTAAAATGATGATACTTATTATATGTTATGCAAGATTTGGGTGGTATAAATGTAAAAATTAAACTTTAGATATTGGATATTGTAAATAAATAGAAATCGGTTGGTATGGATGCAGATAATACCCCGATTATGTTTATGCTGATCTGTTTTATAATTAAAATTTGGGTGCAGATGGACAGCAAATATCAACACCCAAGCATTCAGTTATTCATCATGGAACTGAAGCCTACAGCTAAGCTTGAAGGAAGTCTGCAGAATAAAACTCCTATTTCTGATGATTTAGATGGAGCTGAAAGAAGCTGCTGACAAATGGAGCCATTGCTGCCCGGCTTTTAAAGTATGTTACAATATCTCAAAGAAAGATTTACATGCATACCACTTAATTCTTAATGTTTTTACATATCTAACACCTAAAGCATAATTGTATACATATATGCTATCTCACCCATACATGAAAAGGTATATTTTTACATTTAATAAGTTAAAAGTGGTGGCATTCCTTATGTAATGTGGTATGAATGTAAAAATGTAATGCCTTGCTAATTTTCCTTTATGATTATTGTAACCTTGAATATCCTAATTGATATTAATGCAGACTATCTTAGTTGTTTTCAATTAAGAGACCCTGAGTTCAAATATCTTGTTTATTGTATTAATGCAACTCTTATTAATTTGGCAACGAATAAGAGTTTACAAATATAAAGTTTACAAATATATAAATACATAATTTTGTGATATGCACATACATCCCTCTTTCGAGTTTACAAATATAAAGTCCCAGGTCGATCGTTTCTAGAGATTTCAATTTTAAATTTTAGCAGATTAACGTACCTTTGTACCACTCTATTTTTGTTTATTTATAAATCCAACACCTAAGTTTTAATTTTTACATATAGGCCATCTTATATTATAAGATTTAAAAAATAATATTTTATTTGTGATTAGAAAATTTTAGACGGTAAAAAATATAAGAACTAAAATGTAAGTGAACACGCCGGTAAAAATATTTACATGGGTGCTAGAGATTGGAGAAATTATTTCATACGAACACCGCATTTTTCTCAAATTCTTATTGTCTTATGTCTTACGGCTACATGATTAGGGTTGTTAAAAGGACTCTTTGTTCGTGAACAGCTCGTGTTCGGCTCGTTAGCTCGCTTGTGTTCGGCTCGTTTACACCCCTACATAAGACTTAATATTTTTTTTTGTTTAGTTTTAAGTAGATTGAAAAAAATATATTTACTTGGGAAAAAGGTGGCGCGCGGCCGTTGATAATGGATGGAGAAAGTGGTGGTGGTAGGCGATCGCGAGCCGTTAACGAAGGACTGAGGCGGTGGTAGGCTGTGGGGGACGGGGGGGGGGGGGGGACGGTGACAGACGACGGCAGCAACAGCGGGCGACACTGGCTGTGAACGATTGCGGATGAACAACAGTGTAAACTTCAAATTTAATAAAATTTACATTGTATTTGTATATTTTCATATCAAACATATAATTTTCTCAAATCTCTACAAAAGAGTTACAATACACGACTAATTCACTCAAACAAACAACCCCTAAGAGATTAGACTGACCACCTTGCAAAAAATGAATGTGTGCCCTTGTTATTATGATTAATTATTATTATTTAATGGAAGATTGACATACATACCGCTCATTTCCTATGTATTTTCTTATCTAACACCTATATTTTGATTTTTACATACACGCCGCCTCACCTATGCATGAAAAAATGCATTTCAAGTTTAAAAAGTTAAATTGGTGGTATTTTTGATGTGATACGAATGATTTTGGTGGTATAAAATTAAAAGCTAAAATTTTGGTGTTAAATATGTAAATATATAGGAACTAGGTGGTATGCATGTAAATGCCCCATTTTCATATTTGTTTGAAATTATGAACTGGCAAGTTGTATAGCCTTATGTATGTATATATAGATTAAAATGGATACTTATTGTATGTTATGCAAGATTTGGGTGGTATAAATGTAAAAATTAAACTTTAGATATTGGATATTGTAAATAAATAGAAATCGGTTGGTATGGATGCAGATAATACCCCGATTATGTTTATGCTGATCTGTTTTATAATTAAAATTTGGGTGCAGATGGACAGCAAATATCAACACCCAAGCATTCAGTTATTCATCATGGAACTGAAGCCTACAGCTAAGCTTGAAGGAAGTCTGCAGAATAAAACTCCTATTTCTGATGATTTAGATGGAGCTGAAAGAAGCTGCTGACAAATGGAGCCATTGCTGCCCGGCTTTTAAAGTATGTTACAATATCTCAAAGAAAGATTTACATGCATACCACTTAATTCTTAATGTTTTTACATATCTAACACCTAAAGCATAATTGTATACATATATGCTATCTCACCCATACATGAAAAGGTATATTTTTACATTTAATAAGTTAAAAGTGGTGGCATTCCTTATGTAATGTGGTATGAATGTAAAAATGTAATGCCTTGCTAATTTTCCTTTATGATTATTGTAACCTTGAATATCCTAATTGATATTAATGCAGACTATCTTAGTTGTTTTCAATCAAGAGATCTTGAGTTCAAATATCTTGTTTATTGTATTAATGTAACTCTTACTCGGCAACGAATTAGAAAAAAAGGGATTCTAATTTTGTTTCAAAAAACTTTCCATGGATCATTTAACAATAATTGCCTCCTTTTAAAGGGCCATTTGATGCAACACCCAATCTTCATATATCTAACACGTAAATTTTATTTTTTACATTTATACCACTCAAAATTTACATGTCACATTTAAAATACAATTAAAAATAATAAAATAAAATATACCTTTGAAGGCATAAATAAGGTGACATTTATGCAATAAATAAAAATTGGGTGTAATCTAAGTACTTAGTGTATTTCTTTAATATGTTACATTTGTGCATGAAGCTTCCTTCCAAAAATAAGATTTTATAATTAGCACTTTGTTTACTTCTAATCAAATCATATATCTGTAAATATAAGATTATAACTACATGAGTGGCAAGATTTAAGCCGATTTTGCTTAGCTTAGTATTTAAACTTTAATTTTTATATTTATAACCTTTTATCAAGGCACAAAATAAATATTATTTTTGAAAAGTTGATAATAGTAATATTATAGATGTGATATGAAAATTTTATATGTAATAAATGTAAAAAATATAAAATTTAAATGTTAAATATGTAAATACATAATTTAGTGATAGCAGATACATGCCTCTTTCCAGTTTACATATACAGGCGTAAAGATGGCAAATTTGTCGCCGCATATAAAGTCCCAGGTCGATCGTTTCTAAAGATTTCAATTTTACATTTTAGCAGATTAACGTAGCTTTGTACCACTCTATTTTTGTTTATTTATAAATCCAACACCTAAGTTTTAATTTTTAGATATAGGACATCTTATAATAAAGAATATTTTACCTTTTAAGATTTAAATAATAATATTTTATGTGATTAGAAAATTTTAGATGGTAAAAAATATAAGAACTAAATTGTAAGTGAACACGTCGGTGAAAATATTTACATGGGTGCCAGAGATTGGAGAAATTATTTCATACGAACACCGCATGCGGTGTCCGATCTCTACCTTCGATCACCGCTATCAAAATTAAATAATAAAAAAAAATTAAAAATAGAGCCAACTGAAATACATCTTCGCGGTGATCGACGGTAGATATCAGACACCACATGCATCTCTACATGCAGTGTCCGTATGATACAAATTTCTCAAGAGATAGCGGCCTAGACTTTTTGCCACGTGAGTGTTAAAATAATATTTTTTAAAATAAAAAAATAATTTAGAATATTCTAATTAAAATTGTAATCATAACCATTGAATTAATTTTAGCACGAACATAATACAAATAATAACATTTATCATATTTATTAAAGGCTTCAACTTTAAAATTCATTTTGATTAAAATTTAAACAAAATATTTTAAACATTTTTTTTAATACTTACTATAAGATAAGTTCACAAGACCCAATATTCGGGAGCCACCTTTCATGGACTAAGAACTATTGTTTTCAGGCTAAAATGATGGCCTAAAGAATGCACGTAGCAAGAATGATTGGTTTGCAGAACCCAGAGAGGCCGTTAGATTGGTTAAAAAAGATATGCAATATAAGAAATTAATATTTAGAATATTTTATAATTATTTGATCCGGTGTGAAATAAATCCAAGAAATTATATTTTTTTGTTTAATTTAAATAAATATAAAATTAATATAAAATATGGTTTTCGTGGCAGGGGACGCCAGTTATAATTATTTGATCCGGTGTGAAATAAATCCAAGAAATTATATTTTTTTGTTTAATTTAAATAAATATAAAATTAATATAAAACATGATTTTCGTGGCAGGCGACGAAGGCTGGTGGTGGTTGATGGAAGACAGGTAATTGTAGCAATTGATGACGATCGACGGGAGCGATGTCTCGCGAAGCGATGGTAACGACAAACAAGGGGGCAAGTTGTCGTTGGCAACCAATAATGGCAGGCAATAGCAAGCAACATCGACTGATTGCCATAAGCAAAGCTTCGCTCATGTCGTCTATTTAGAATTCAATGAAAATTAAACAAATTCCAAATGCATTGAATATGAGCTAAATAATGAAAAAAAAAAAGGTTTCAAATAAAGAAATAAATAATAAAAAAAAAAGGCAACAAAACTTAAAAAGGGAAACCGCAAAGGAATAGCCATAAAATAAAATTGAAGAAAATCGATAGAAAATTATGTACCTTAAATATACTAGATATGATAAAACATATAACAAATAAAATTAAAAGCATTTAAAATAGAGACTAGAATGTGTAAGAAAACGCCCTACAACAAACTGCAATACCCATTTTGACTGCCCCATCACCACTGCTTCAGTCACTAAATAGGACTCAATGGAGAAAAATGATTCATGTAGCCGACCCCACAGTGGGATTAAGGCTTTGTTGTTGTGGATATTTACATACATACCGCCACGCAATTCCTATGTATTTACATATGTAACAGCTAAATTTCTCTTTATACATACATTTATACCACCCAAATCAATCACATCAAAAATACCACCATTTTAGCCTTTAAAAAAATCAAATACACCTCTTCATACATAGGAAAGGTAGTAGGTAAAAATTGAAGTTCAGGTCTTATATGTAAATACATTAAAATTGAGTGGTATGCATGTAAATCTTGCTTTTTTAGGATAAGCACTCCGCTTGCTTTTTTAATAGCAAAATTGAAAGGGACATTTACATACATGCCACCCAATTCCTATATATTTACATATTACACCTAAATTTCACTTTTTACATTTATACCACCCAAAATACCACTCACATCAAAAATACCACAAGTTCAATTTTCATAAAGTGAAATAAATACACCTTTTCATGCATAAAGAACGTAGTATATGTATGCGCCTAAACTTCACTTTTTACATTTATACCACCCAAATCTTTCATATCACATAAAAATATTTTAACCTTTAAAAATTGAAATACACATTTTCATGCAGAGGCAACTTGACATACATGTAAAAATTGAGTTTACGGTTTATAAATGTAATAAATGGGAATCAAACGGTATGTATGCAAATAATGAAGCAAATTTAAATAGTTTAATGAAGTTATTTAATTGTCCTTTTTGTATGCTTCAAGGATTTGAATCTTTTAACGAATTACATGAAAAATGTGTAACAAAATTACACTTCGCACGCATTTCCTCGAAGGTTCCACAACAATGGCAAAGTCACAATCAAAACTTCCATTCATATATGATAGACTGCAGTACTAAAAGGAAGCTTTCGACAGCACAAAGACTATTTCCATGAGCAGAGCAAAAACAATAGGGCTTGTTTGGGATGGTTTTTAATTATATATAGACCACACATAATACTAATATTTACAAATTAACCACCAAAGGTGATTTTTTTGAACTAACAAACCGATGTATTTATGAGCGCCATGTTAAAACAATTGAGAATTTGATAAAAATTGAACAATACGAGCTGGGGTTTTACCATGAATTTTGATATTTGAGTGAGAATTTGAAAAATGGATGAAAGAGGGTGGTTAATTTGTAAATAGGAAGTTTCAGCTGGTTTGCATGTAATTATCCCTTTTGTTTTTTTGTTCCTTTTTCACTAAACATGCTATATTTCCAATAAATAATAAGCCCACATTAAAATATGTTGGAGACTAATTTGACATTTTTATAAATTCGGAATGATCGGGGTTGAAAAAGAGTCGGGAGACTTATTTGACATTTTTATATAAGGATTATTTTGACATTTTATGCAAATAAAAATAAAATCAGAAGGACATACCTCTTCAATCTTTGGAAACTCTAACAAGCATGCCAGATGGGGTTTGTAAGACTTTTAAATGTCCAGAACCAATGAGATCACGAAGATGAAACCTCGTGTCTAGTGGTGATAGTCGCAGACGTTTCTTCTCCAAAGAAGCTAACAGCATCTCTTTGTATTTTCTTCGGTTCAGGAAAGAAAGGAGCTCCTTCCGGCCCTGAAATGTGGAGTCAAACATTCCAAAATTACTGAGAGAGGTGACAAACTTGATAGAAAATCCAGTGTTAAATTGTTTTGAACCATGCTTGGATATATAAATTAGGGGCATTTACATGCATACCCATATAATTCTTGTGTTTACATATATATATAATACCTAAACTTTCATATTTACATGCTACAATTTTTAATGTTACATGAAAAATATCATTATCGCTATCTTTTTAAAAACTAAATATTTCGTTTCATTTGTGGGTTATAATGCCAAGCTGTTATAAATGTAAATATTGAACTTTGGCTGTTAGATATGTAAATACATACAAATTGTGAGGTATTTATGTACATTTTCCCTTAAAATATCTGACTTTTTGTTGGAAAAATGGTCAGGTCAGAATTGTGAGATGCATTCAGAATGAGATCGAGAAAAGATGGCAACCTTTAAAACCAATAAACTAACTAAATTCAATCTGTGAGATGTTGGTGGTAGTAATTCTTAAAAACACTAAAAAAAAATTTAAAAGTTGTTTTGAATTTTCTTTTAAATTAAAATTTATTTTGAAGATAAAAAATAAAAAACAAACAAAAAATATATTAAATAAATATGTATTAAAGAACAAAAAATAAAAAAAATAAATTGATCCCAAATTAGCGCTTAATTTATTTCAAAAATTGAAACAGAAAATAAATTTACAAATGTATTTCAACTTCTGAAACCTAATTGCATTCAAGATATCAATATACAAATATCTCACATGCAAGTTTTTTAGGTTTGGGTTGACTTGATTAATTTTTGGGTCGTGTTCGGGTCCAAAATCCTAATATATTTAATTTTTCGAGTTCGGTTTAGGCTAACCCGTCATCCTAAATCTGACCTGAATCTAACTTACCAACCCAAATTTGACCCGAACCTGACTCAATTAATCTAAGTTTGACCCAAAGAACTATTATGCATATAGTAAATGAGTTATGCAAGGTCGGATTGAGGTTAGACTTTCTGACCCATTTAATAATTTAGTTGGTTCGGGTCAAACGATTTTATCATATCATACCCAAAACTCAACCCATAAACCCGATTGGACACCACTAAGATACATTAACACAACAAACAAAATATCTTAAAAAAATATACAAGCACGAGAAAATGAAAAGAGGCTCCACTCTTATCAATAAGAAGAGATTTATGCTACAGTTCTAAAATGAAAATAAATATCTTTGAACTAGACCAGTCATAGAGCAGCAGAAATCATAACTTTAAGAAGCCTGATAATTAGTTGATAACAAGCATAAGAAAATAATAGATGCTGAAAATTAAATAATGCCAAAAACCATATATTCAGATGTAAAATTAAGCGTGCAGAAAAAAATTCATGCAATAAGTGACTTCTTTTAAACAAAATATGAAAGACAATATCACTGTCTGGTAATGAAGGTTACTTGCATGTACTCAAAAGCCTAGACAGTGTTAGTGTTGAATCAAATTAAGTCTACCGCCCATCATAGCACACCTAGGATCTATTTATTTACGGAGCATTTACATACATATTACTTAATTCTTACAAATTTACATATTTAACACCTAAATTTTACGCTTTACAAGTACACCACCAAAAGCCTTTCATATCACATAGAAATAACACCATTTTAACTTAAAAAAGTAAAATACACCTTTTCATGCATACCTAGGGGTTGTTTGGTAGCACTTTTTGATAGGATTTATCACCTAATTTACTAAATTCAGCCAAACGCTGATTTTATGAAATTTCAAATTTATGGTCCTAGATTTTGCCTTCGATTTGGCTTAAATCTGAATTTACTAAATCCAATGGTAGAGTTGAATTAGAGGATTTATGATTTATGAATTTACTAAATCATACTAACGTTAAATCCTACTTGCAATTATACAATCCCATAAAGTGGTATGCATGTAAAAATTGAAGTTTAGGTGTTATATATGTAAATGCAAAGGAATTGAGTAGTATGTATGTAAATCTTCCGTTATTTATTATCTGGATTTTATATATCTCTAGACGCTAGGAAATTTTACTATTGTTTAGCAAGAGAGATTTCATGCTTTTCGATGTGGTAAGATTGAGTCTACTTGAGTTTGAAGAAGAGCGTTTTATTTAAGCCCAATTTCGTCATAAACCAACATGATTTACATGGACAATTATTTTGTCTTAATCTCTCTATAATTATTGTATTTATTTATTATACTAGTTATACTAGTAGTCACTTTATGATTTTTCCCAATAACACTTTCTCGTGCATGCATTCACTTAAATCTTTATGCTTGAAACTATAACTGAAAAAGAAATGAAAAAAAAATAGCTCTCAGTGGTACAACTATGTTTTGTGGATGTATTCTAGATAGAGGTCATAAGATGGGAAAAAAAGATTGGGATATTTGTAAGGGACTAAAAGCCTTACCAACACAGTTTATCTTGAGAGGACAGTGTACTTGCTACTAAGGCAGAAAGATAAGCCTATCAAACATAATTTTAATGGTGGTGGCCGAATAGGATGGTGGGAGAGGAGGAGAAGCATTTAGGGAGAAAAAGAAGTATGCCTCGGGAAGAGGAAGGGTCGGTCAGGGCTTCTCGAAGAAGAAGAGGAGTCGGCCGAAAATTCGCGAAGCTAGGGCTAGCACGAGAGCGAGGCGCACGGGCCAAGGTTCGCGCAAGCCAGCTCGTTCGCGAGTGGAAGAGGGGATGCTGTTGCAGCTTGGGCAAGAAGTATCAGGAAGATTCGCGAATAGGAGGGGCGCAGGAGCTAGGACTCGAATAGGGGAGAATCGGGAGAAAAGAGGCGTGAGCATGGGTTTATGCTTAATAGGGCTTTTTTTATTGATTTTGTTTTGTTTTTTTATATTATATTATATTATTTAAATATATTAATTCGCGCGTAGTTTATTCGTGCACGGAATCTTAGCAAAATGGATGTCTTTTCCAGGCATGAGCATGGGTTTATGCCAGCGCAGTCCGTTTCATCATCCGAGGTCGCTCGGACAAGTTCATCGATTTGCGTGTAATTTATTCGTGTGTGAAATTATAACAATATGGGTGTTATTCTTAGGTAAAATTGACATTCTGGACTCGCCGGCGCAGTCCGTTTCGTCATTCGAGGTTGTTTAGACAAATTTATCGATTTGTGTGCGCGAATGTACGAAAGTCATAATTAGTTTCGTAAGGCTTTTAAATCCTATGGGAACTCTCTTTGGGCCTCCAAATGCTGGGTCCTTAATTACTCGACCAAATGATGATGGTTTGAGACCACTCAGGCGAGACGCCACAAGAGAATCAAGAAGTGGTTCGACATTTCTAAAAAAAGGTGGGTCCCAGCTCTAATCCTCTAAGATAGTCGATAAGAAATTTTAGAGTTAGATCCTAGAATCTAAGAGGAGGAGAAATAACCTCAAAATGAGGTCAACAAATGGACCCCCAATGGTGTGGTGTATTGGACAAACACACCACACGTATTGGTATTGACCGAATGGATCAACAAACCAAAGAATCGTTTAAGTAGACTTACTTAAAATAGGCCAAAGATTGAACCGAATATGTCATTGAGCTTGAGTTGGGTTCCCAACCGGGAAACCACAGCTCAAGAAAGAATTTGAGAATGAATGAGTTGGGTCTTCTACTCGAGAGTTTCCAACCCAAAGGTAAGAGTGCATTGAATATCTTTGAAAGGTTTTCGCTGGGATTAGCAAGTGTATTTGATCGAAACTGAAGATTCGGAACCCTTGCTGGGGATTAGTTTGAGCAGGAGAGCACGGGAACTCACACCTATCCTGAATAGTGAGATTGTCGAGTTTAGTGTTGAATTTTGCACAGATTGTTGTGGAAATTATGGAACTGGGAATCAAAATCCTTGCGCCGATCCCGAAATATATATTTGACGGAATCAGAATCCTTGCACCGACCCAGGAATATCGTGAATATTGAGCATATGTGGATATAATATGAAAATATGTGAAGGAATCGGAATCCTTGCACCGATCCTCGGGAAACATGAAGAACATATATTTAAAGGAATCGAAATCCTTGCACCGACCCTGAAATATCGTGAATATGGAACATATGTGGATAGAATATGAAAATATGTGAAGGATTCGGAATACTTGCACCGATCCTAGAATATATATTTAAAGAAATCAGAATCCTTACATTGACCCTGAAATATCGTGAATATGGAACATATGTGGATGTTGCAAATATATGGGTATTTGTAAAGAATTATGAAGCTTATGAAAGTTCTGAAAAAAAGTCACATTGGGAAGGAATGTCAGAGAGTCACATCAATCCCAAGAGCTGAATAAAAGAATCAGCTTGAGAAGAAATGTTCGGAGATTCGCATCCAACCTCAAAACTGATCGAAGAATTATCCCTGAGGGAAGAGATGCGGCTCTATATTTGTAGAACCAGCCAAACCTCATACTCACCCAAAAGAGTGCGGTTCTATAGAGCCAGCTAACCTCTTCCACAGGAGGAAGAGAACCCAGTTTTAGACAAGTGCAGCATCCATGTTTCTAAGAATGACAGTGTCTTTGAAACACCGCGATGCACAGTACTTCTTGAGGTACCATCAGTTGACTGAGGATATGTGCGAAAATAACCAATTCTTAAGGTACTATCAGAACTATATTCTCTCAAGTACACATAAATATGTGCTATTTCTGGGGACACCACATCCCAACTCCGTTGTGCAAGTCGTCGTTTCTTTACCACCGATTTTGCCAATATTGTTCACATTTTCATGAGAAATCACTTTGACACTCTTCGAATTGAGATTGGAATTGACTCCTCTTGGCGTTAAAGATATGACTTCAGGGTAGAACTCTCATTAATTGCTAATAACATAGTCTTTATTTAATCCTTTCTTTCTGGACCTAAGAAGATTTCAGAAATTTTGTCATGCGATTAAAACATTTTTCATTTACCGAAGATATTTCTAAGTTAATTAATAACCGACCAAAAGACATAAGATCACTTAATTTTT